TTCCTAGACTAATTTCCTATATCATAAAACCTATATTCAATTTTATAAATAGCATACACCAAGAATCATAAATTCAGTTAATGCAGAAATTTAACAGATTTTTTTTTTTTAATAAAAGTGAGAAAAGGCTGTTTTAGAGCAAATATCTTAAAGGACAAAAAGGGTTCTTTCTTTGAAGATATGTTTTTTCCTCTGACTCGACCTCCTTAGGGACATAACTAGAGAAGAAATAAATTTCACAGCTAATATATATGAAGTAACATGTTTAACATTATCCAATGAATTTATATCTACCTACACCATATAAATTTATCTCACATAAACTGTCACCTCCAACAGAATTCATTAAAACAATGTTATAGCTTCCAAATTAAATGCAATCTTCTAATTGGAATTTAATCTTACAATAGTAGTTGGTGGATTTTCTTTTTTAATTGGCAAATGGAATAATTCATTAGTTTGTCTTGCAGTTCTGTCTGAAGAATTTAAAAGTAACGTTGATGAGGGATGGGCTGGTCACTGCCATGTGTGTCCTGGGAGTTGGTGGGGGTGGAGGTTCTTTCACCATCTTCAGAACTCCTCTTGCTACTTATGGACAGGAAAGGATGGACATCCTTTCTCACCATCTAGAATTACTACATTACTAATGCATTCCATTACCTCCAAGTAAATGTCATGTTAATTTCTGATCTTCATCAAGCCAGACAATGGTTTCCACCTTGACTCCTAGCCAATTAGCTATGTGGAAAATATTCAGCCAATTATATTACTCGCATTAGGTTAGGAACTGGAAAGAAAGGCAAAATAAACGCCTTGAAAATGCTTCAGAGATAAAATGTAAGTTGACACTGCTTCGCATGCCGGAGCTGGGGTGATACAATCTGATAGGCAGCTGCCAGCACTCATAACTGCTTATTAAATCTAGCCTCTCCTTATGGTGTGAGTGAAGATCTGTATTTTTACCAATATTAGGTTCATCGTGTTATGAAAGAGACCAAAATACTTAAGATCATTCGCTCCAGCTTATAAAACATATTATGTAGTTTATTAAATTGTTAAAATTACTTTTCAAAGTCAAAATGTTCCAGGGACTGGAAGTTTAAGCACAACAAAGTAAAGTGGCCTGGCCTACTGACAGGCCAGGGCACACGGCAGCCCAGAAGGAGCACCTGGCAGCAGCTTTCCTGTCCCAAAGTACCTGCCAGCTGTGCCCAGCGTCTCCCAGAAACTGCACTAACCACCACCCACCCCAAAACGAATGACAAAAAGAAAAAAAAGCCACATTCTGAAGTTTCATTTTAAAAAGCAAGGACCTCTCAGCAAAAAAGTAGCCCCTTACTAAGTCTTAAGTGAGAAGGAAGAATTTTCTCATGTTTTTTATCTCTTCCTGAGAAGTCAAAAGCTAGGGATTTGATCCTAACAGAGATCAAAAGAGGAACTGTGGGCAAAGAAGGGGGAAAAGTTATGGGCAAATAATGTATAACAATGTCACATGAGTGCCACCACCTCCACCAGCAAAGGACAGCTGACTGGCAGGGCCAGTGCAACGCCCCAGCGGAGACTGATAAAGAAGCCAGCTTAGTTGCCATCTCTAGTCAAGTATTCTCAGGACAACTCTATGCAAATCGAAACTGTTATTATCACATTTATTAATAACATTGTGGCTAACTGCCTATTAAATATGCAGCAGAGATAGCCAAGCTTCACTCGTGGAGTCCCGTGATGTGCATCCTACAGGTACCACTATCAACTGCAGTTTCATGCCGAGGCAACAGCCAAGGCTGATTCCCTCCTGGTGAACAGTGGGGCATTAAAGAACCGCAGCGCAGAGGGAGACATGAAGTGCTCAGCCCGTCTTTCTCCACAGCCTGCCCCTCAGTTAATTTATTATGCAGGCATGGTTATCACTAACATCAATCAAGTACATTACCCATTTTCTGACCTTAAAAAATTTGCCATAATGATCTATTTGTGCAAACCTTTCATCTCTTGGTTTCATTTCCTTGCATTTGAGTGAGACGATTTGTTGTTCTGGCTGCCTACCCCTGTGACTCTGACCCTGTTCTACCATGAGGACACTTACCATGAAACGCTTCACTCAGAATCAGAGTTTATTTCAGGCCTAAAGACTCCAAATTATCAGCTGTAACAATTAATTGGTGCTTCTTTTGGTTACTCAATAAACTGTAAAGTTCTAAAAAGCACAGAACTGTGAATAAATTTTTGACAATGGAAGGACTAACTAGCTATCAGATGCATAATGCATGGAAGGCCGGCCGCTGCATCACGGAGGGAGAGAATCGGCCCTTTGAGTAAGCCCTGGAAATATGCCTTAAGGAAAAATTGGGAGGAGGACAGAAAATCAGAACACATGCTCCAGCTCATAGGATTTCAAATACTTCTATCGTCTGCTAAAACACAACAAAGGGAAGTTTATTACAGTCTGATAAATACAAAGAACTTCCTTATTTAGAAAAAAACACTACTCAACTGAGCCTAATGGTTCATTTTTTCAAAAGAGATATCATTTTTATTATAGTTCTTCAGATTGATTTTTCAGATAGTGCACCTTACCCGATTGAAATTAATGAATAAAATGAGCTGAGTTTTCAACAAATCCATTCATGTGGTTTAGTTAAATTTCATACATCAATTTTATGATAGTGAGATTGAGTCAAACTCTCTCAATACTGAAGACAGAGATGACAGGTAACCAAAAACCTGAGTTTGACGTTATTGTAATGTCTTTAGAATTTCAACCACTTCTATGAATTCTCGTTATGTATATAAGACAGACCCAGACTTTGTTCTCAACTCTACCTGGATCAACCAAGACGTGAATTTTTGTAACATGTGCTATGCATTCACTAATCTACAGATCATTCACAGAAGTCTATCGCAGCTGCACAGCAATGGAAAATCTTTAAAAATGTTCACAGAAATGAAGGAATAAAAGGACTTGCCCAACCACCCAGTAAAATAACAGCTCTAAAATTCAAAAATTTCATTAACTATTTCTTTTTCACTATGGACGTCTTTGCCTTATGTATTTCTGTTTACTACTGGCATTTTTTTGACCTTAAGAAAAAGAAGGTAGAAGACTGGATTTTTTCTCTAACTCTAGCTTCTGCAGAATGGAATACACAGTACAAGTAGTCAGTTAACAAACTCCCCTTGGTGGAAGTGAAGTTTTTTTTTTTTTTTTTTGCGGTTTTTGGCCAGGGCTGGGTTTGAACCTGCCACCTCCGGCATATGGGGCTGGTGCTTTACTCCTTTGAGCCACAGGTGCCGCCCGGTGGAAGTGAATTTTAAAGCCAGTAGTTTATCTGAGGATCACCTGGTCTCTGATATTTGGGCTAGTTGCTTCACTAAGGACATAGTTTCTATGAACATTAAAACTAATAGTTTTTAATCTATGAATGACAAGAGATTTGTTAAGATGACCCTCTAGCTACAAAATATTTAAAAATCTGGCCCATATAGTTGAATGCATAGCAATGTGTTAGATACTTATCCTCGGAAGAGATGTACTAAGCTGAATGGGTGCTAGTTGCCCTCTGTAACTAAGGTCAAGTCCTGACCAACCCAAGGAACTCAGACACGCCAGGTAGACTCCTTGGCCTTCAGCTGTCCTAGTTGTACACCCAGGGTATCTAAATGTACTTTCTGGGGTCTACATAGCCCAGAAAGGATAGGATTCTCTAACCTATGTGCTTTGTTTTAAAAATATAGGAAATCAGGGCGGTGCCTGTAGCTCAAAGAAGGTGGTGGGTTCAAATCCAGCCCCAGCCAAAAACTGCAAAAAA